AATGGTAAGGTGCAGCACCTCGTGAACTGGTTCACGTGGTGCAGGCCAAATCGAACGAGACCTATTTTGGTCTCTTCGTTTTGGCTGCACCGGCTGAACCAGTTCAAAGGGTGCAGCACCTTCGTCCTCGTTTTGCCGGAGCAGCGCGCGCCCTCTGTCGCACCCTCTGCACTGGCTCCCTCGTTTTGTCTAGGTGTAAGCCTAGTTCCTGACGAGTTCTGTACCGGCGTGCACGCACTCCAAAGCAGGTGCAGAGTAGTGCAGCATGGCGGGCGTCCCCCCAAGGCCAGAGCAGACGACGTTGCAAATAGTTGTTCAGGGCGTTCAAAAGGAAGTTAAGGCACTTCACAATCCCGACGGGTCATTTATGACGGACGCCAACGGTTACGTCTATGAGGCATCAGGTAAGTCAGGCTGCATGCATTGCCAAAAAACGTGGTTAGCGGCCAGGAGTCGTAGTCGGTCAGCAAACAGCCTCGTAGCATTGCTTATGCTATGTCGGTATTTTTAATCTTGGTTTTCGCCCTTGCAGACGGCAAGCGCGTTACGTTGCGGTTCATGGCAGGGAATCGTGAAAATGACCCCCCTCCGGCACAACCGCCGACGCCTTCTCCTGCCTGCGACGGCGACGTTGACAGCGATGGGGCTTTAGCCGCATTTCCAGCAGCAGCCGCGTCGGCTGAAGATGTGGAAGAGCTTTGGAGCGCCCGAAAAACAAGGTTCTTCATCGCCAAATACTCGGAAATGAAGGACTTGGTGGGAAAAACCAGGGCACTTCGGTATGTCATCCTATGTCCAAAATTATTTGCAGCTTTTATTATTCCGTTTCACTCTAGGCAAGCACCAACAAGATAAGGGCGCATGAAGTTCACAATGGCGATGGTTATTGTTGCCTACATTTTACTGCCAGCAATTTACATTTTACTGCCCCCCCCACTGAAAAAAAATTTTGGCTATGCGCCTGACTGTGACATATACGTTTACATATACACACAAACAGTATGTATAGTCACGCACATATATACACAACGAAGGCATTCGTAATGTTTCATTAAGTCAAGTGATCTTCAAAAACAGCGACGGTGCTTTTGTGTTGGGCATTGCACAACCGCTGTCTTGCCGAAAAGGTGCAGCACCTCCAAGCTCAAGCCATGTTGCAAGTGTAGTGCTGCCTTGAGAATTTGCACTAGAGGGAATTGCATGTTGTTATTCTGAGGCACATCTCTAGCAAGTCTCGCCCTGCAGTCCTTGTGTCTTCACTGTCTGTCCGCATTTCTCTCGCACTGCCACTTTTCAAGATGGTGCAGCTCATTGTTAAAAGAGATATGCTTCTGACACGTGCTACCCTATCTTTGAACCTAGACTGCGCCGTCGTGTCAGCAAACAAGGTTGCGCAGCTGCATGTTTTACAATGCAAAGACAGGTTAGAATATGGCTGTCTCCTTAGTGAAGCTTTATGATCCAAAAGAGTGATTTACACAATGTTCAACTTCTCCAACATAATGCTTCCCGCACAAAAAGAACGTTCGCAGTTATCAGAAGTGTGTGAATAGTGAATTTCGGAACCTAATCAAGTAAGAGTCAAATAGTAATGGCACCAAATAGAATACAAATAGTAATTGAATACTGTTTGAATAGTAAGTAGACCATTTTCAAAACAGCCTTAGAACAGAACATTTTATTTGAAACAAATAGTCACAAACTTTCGACAAAGGCCATTACAGTCAGTTTGAATCTACTCAAAATACCACAATTACGAAAACTAAGGTAATCTCGTATGCAGCAGGAACTAGAATATTCGTAACATTTTGTAATTGTAGGTTCAACTACGGCATTGACTAGCGTTATCAACGTGAGACTTTGTCACCTCACTTTAAATAAAATTGGGACACAAAAACAAAACAATTTACAACCAAACATTGCAGATACAACTAAATATGTAACGGAGCAGATCAACCCGTCATCACAACATGGCCTGCGCACTAAAAGCGGATAACAATGGGCGTTGAAATTTACATCTGCAAGAACAATTTACGCAAACGCAAAACTTGTATCTGTTGCTAGTCGTGAAGCTGCAAGCACTCGTAGTTCCCACCTTTGGTTATTACAAGACGAAGACAGGAGCTGATAAATGCGATACAGCTAAAGTGCAGTAAAAATTGAGCAAGAATGGAGCTTTCAGAAGCGCATTCATTCGACAATCAATATAGTGTAGGTAGTCTTGCAAAAGCTTGGGCTGCGTACAGGTCACATTAGGGATTGAAAGAATGACTTGTAGCTGTTTCGTTGTTTTGGGGTTCTCCCGCCAGTGCCGATTATTAAAAGAATATTTGTTACTTAGAATATGTGCAATTCGATTCGACTTAGGAACCGAATACAGTGCTGTTTGATTCATTATCCAAAATTTTCGAATAATCGAACATCCCTAGCAATTATCCCTGAAAGCTACACATATGAAGTACTAAGGAAAGGTTCATGTGCTACTGCAAGACTTGGGTCACGTTACGTCGCTTCCTTCTTTCCTACTAACTGTGCTTTGCTTTTTTGTTTAGCACAAGAAGGCTTCTGTGGAAGAAGTTGGCTGAGGCCATCAATACGGAGTTCTTGTGCAACGTGACTGCCACACAAGTGGAAAACAAATGGAAGTCGCTGGACAGAGCATATAAAAAGTCAAAAAAAGACAACAATTCTTCAGGTCACCACCGTGTGAACTGTGAATATGAAGAGTAAGTTACGATTGTGTCTTCATATCTTCAGTGATTCTCATAGTGTCTATTACAGAGAGCTGGCAGAAGTCTTGGAAAAAGAACATAGTGTAAATCCAAGGCTGCTCTTGGAGCCTGGAAAAACAATCCTGCCTAGTGCAAGTCCAGAGTAAGTAAAAATTACTTAATTTGTGCTGTAGCCTGGAAATGACATGGCACCTGTACAATTACTTTCAACAGCACCAGCATCACTGAAGCACCTCAAGATGCAGCAGTCCCAGTCGAGTGCAACACAGCATCCAAAGTTCGGAGCAGCACAACGCCAAAAAGGAAGCGCCAGAGTAGGTCCCAAGTCACGCCGCTCTTGGAGGCATTAGAAAAAATGCAAGCTTCGAGAGCTAAGCAAGAGGAGGCAGCAGTGAAACAACTGGAGGAAAGAAAAAAATGGGAAGAGGCAAAGGCAAAGCGGCATGATGAGCGCATGCAGCGATTCGATCGGTTGATCGACGTACTCTCAAATAAGGACGGGTTATAATATGGGCAATAAACTTTATAACACTAGCAGTGTCTACTCCATCTAATTTGTTAAAAAAAAACATTGCTTCTAGACGCGGCACCCCACTTCGCAAAACATTTGCACACTGAATAATCGCGAAGCAAAGATGAACTTCTAGCACTGTTCCTTTGCAATGAACTCTCGCAGAGACTGACTGTAGCCTGGCAGACTGCAATCAAAATCTCCTTCACTTTCATCATTGCCCACATCTTCTTCTTGGGGAAGCGTTGCAAGTTCCTCAAGGAAGTCCCTTTCATCGTTGCACATGTTGTGTAGCACACACGCAGCCATAACTATATAGCAGCACTGTTGCACACTTTTTGCATCAACAAGGTAGAGCCTCCTAAAACGCTGTTTAAGCAGGCCGAAGGTGTTCTCAATAAGCACTCGTTGTTGACTGTGTCGTTTATTGAAGCTCTTTTTCCACGTAGGAAAAGAACTTCCATTGTCCTTGAATGGGGTCATGAGCCATGGCATCAGTGGATATGCACTGTCACCCAGTATATAATTGTCTTCACATTCCTGAATTGCGCGTGCAAAGAAGGGGCTCTCCCTCAGGACACGGGCGTCGTGAACCGAACCTGGAAACCCAATAAACACGTTCAGCAACTTGTTCCTGTCGTCGCAGATTCCTTGCAGGATTATCGAAGGCCACTTTTTCCGGTTGAAGTAAGACTGCGTAGATTCGCTTGGAGTGAGTATCCCGATGTGTGATCCATCGATACAGCCGATGGTGTTTCTTGGGCCCTTGCCTTTACTTTTGGCGAGGAAGCCGTTCTTTATGCGGGTCACTTCCGCGCTACTAGGCCAGCAAATTATCTCATCGCTAATAGCGTGTAAGAAGTGAACGACCCGTGTCACACAAACATGAACAGACGACTCGGTAACATCGAATTTGTCGCCTATGGCGTACATAGATATTTGTGAGCCTAGGTACACAAGCGCTATGAGGCATGTTTTTTCGGCACTGATTTGTTGGCGGCCTTGCACTGCCCTTGGGTAGAAGGCTGAAGTCTTGAACTTGGCCCTGAAACTATCAAAAGTCTCCCTGGACAGCCTGAAGAGGCGCTTGAATTCATACTCATGGTACCTGCCGATAATGCTTTCGTACCCGGGTACACGGTTGGCATCGTCGCGCACCAACGCGCACGCGACCAAGATGCACGCATCGTCGTACTCATCGTCGCAGTCACTGCAAACGGCACCGCTGACGGAATCGTCGTCGCTGCTCGAGTCCAGCAATTCCATCGCAGTCACAAGAAGTGCCATCACGGCCGTGTATTGATCGGACAAGGCGGCGGAGGCGGCTATTTTAGGCTTACACTACAAGGTGTTCTCCGGCCTGCACTCACGTCAACTCACGCCTTCGTTTTGGCTGTAGCCGTCGCGCGCTAGTGTCGGCTAGTGCCGAGGCGTGGTTGAGGCTGCACCTGCACTTGCTCGACCGGCGCTGCACGCTCACTGCACCGCTTGGCACCGCTTTTTCTGCACCTGCACTTTTCTGAACTAGTGCAAGCCAAATCGAAGATTCCTCTAATGTGTCCGCCTTGTGTCGCCTACACTTTCTCCAAAGGTAGGCTGCATCGTTTCCCGTTGACCTAGCAACATCGGTACATGCAGAAATGGGAGACGCAAGCGCGCGCACGGTGTTTGATTGCAGGCTGTAAGTGGAATGTTTGGTTTCGTACGCGTCTGCCCAGCCAGACTGTATGCCCAGTGAGTACGTTGTGCTGTTCATATGTAAATTCCGTGAAGAGAAGGCAGTTAGACCGTTGCGCAAGTGGCGAGGAGCGCTGCAACGCGTAAGTGCCGCCAATGCGACGCGGCGCCAACACAATGTGCTTTGACGTATCTAATAACGATTGATATGACCATTTCACTAAAAGTAGACGTTGTGCGCTTGTTCTTATGAAGCTTTTTGTTTGCCGGTCGTCTAAATTATGTGCCGAGCTTTTGTCGCATGACTGCCGTTGTTGACATCGTTTCTATGACCGCTATGAACGGAAGGTTTGTTCGGGTGCTCGGTTTGTGTGCTGTGCAGTTGTAGTTCATCCGCAATTGCTAAGTTGCCGCACCGCTTTTATCCCATCCTTGTCGCCACTGTAACGAACACGCCAGGGCCGTGGCTGGGCCAAGACAAAAGCTTTATTGCGATAGCGCGGGTTAATGTAGCGTTGTGCGAGAGGGGTTAAGGGGAAGGGGAAGGAGAAGAAGCAGTGGTGATAACGGCGGCTTCGGCTGGCGTGACGTCACGGATACATCAATCATCAGCAATTTTTTTTTTCTGTTAGGTTGAATCATTGATTTTACTTTTTCTCAAAGCAAAAGTGCAAGATTCGACTATTGGGGTTAATGCCTAAGGACGGGGCTCCAACATACCACAATCCTCTGAACAGAATAAGCTTAGTAAAGGCAAGGACTAACGCCCTGCCGCGGTGGTCTAGTAGCTAAGGTACTCAGCTGCTGACCCGCAAGTCGCGGGTTCGAATCCCGGCTGTGGATGGCTGCATTTCCGATGCAGGCGGAACTGTGGTAGCCCCGTGTGCCCAGATTGGTTGCACGTTAAAGAACCCCAGGTGGTTCAAAACTTCCCGAGCCCTCCACTACGGCATCTCTCATAATCATATGGTGGCTTGGGACGTTAAACCCCACATATCAATCAATCAAGGCAAGGACTAGCCTTTGAACAGTTGTTTATAAGATGGGGGATACCACCTGCTGCAAATGCATGTCTTTAATGACAGTCAAACCCCACCCAAGTCTTCACCAGCCAATGCCATCTTCACGATTCTAGTGTCCAACGTAACAAGGCATAACTAACAGCGTTTTCTGTTCTGAAACATGCATATTGATAGAATGAACTTTTTCTTGAAAGCTACCACGATGCATGAAGAGGCTCCATCTGTTTGGCTGATATGTCGTCACTGGTCATGTGACTATAGCCAGCTAGCAATCGGGGTACGTCACAGCGCGACGTCACCAGGCATGTGCAAAGGGGGTGGTTGGCTTAACATTCCTGTTGGTGGCCTGAGCACGGTATAGTCGCGCGTGCCCGAGACAATTTTTTCTTTAATGCATGTGGTAGGTGCCAGAGAACATCTAGGTGTATGTGGTTAAACTGTGTGACAATATACTTGCCCCGCTGGCTGACTGTTCATCTTAAAGAAGTAAACCCTATGTGGCGGCCCTGTGCAACGAACAGCAACGTAGTTTTTGAAATGTGCAGTGTTTATGTGGCCTGTAGTGTGCGTTGAAAGGCATTGACAATATTGGTTTATCATTAGGGATGGTGACTTAGAAATATTGTGTGTGGTGTGTACTGTGCGAATGAGGATGCGTCTTGTTTGCGATAACGTTGCCACTTGTTGTGGGCAGGTGGCAGTATCCGGTCGTGAAGGAAATTTCACTACTCAATATTTTAGTCAGTGTGAAAGTGCATTTGACATGATTATCTGCAGCTGGGTACATCTCAGCGTTTGCGCCGCTTGCAGGAAAAAAAAAGAATGTATGATCTGTGGGCTGATTGATACGATTACACATGAGCAATTAGCATGTTTTAACTTTGCCGAAGCTGCATATATGCTGTGCCACGGCGAATACGCTAACCCAATATATGTAAACTCCGATCATCTAAGACCTCATACGTTTAATAGAAACAGCAGCTCATGTGCTTGGTACCTTTAGGCTTGATCTTTATGTAATGAGAATGCCCATTAAAAACTTTGTAAGGTTCAAAAAAGCAAATTAAGTACGCAAACACATTGTAGGCATCAGATCCAACATGATAACTGCATTGTAGATTATCTGTCATCTATATAATTGAGTTATCTCATTTAAATTACAGAAGTGGCTTATGAGGCATGTCATATAGAGGGAATTTTGCTGTAATTTTCACGGGGTTTCGTTACCTCAGTCTAATGCACAAGAAATAGTTCGCAGTGAGTGCGTATTTTACCCGTGACCTCGTGCACAGCAGCTCAAAACCATACTGCCGCTATGTTGTACCTTGTTCAAAACTGCAGTGCACATGTCACGATGGAACTTGAGTACGTTCGCTTCCAATGAGAACAAGATTTTTTTTTTTATGGCTACCATCTACAACGAGCGAATTGCCACATGTTAACTGAACAGTATCATGCATCATAGGCAGTGACCCTCCTTTTTAAAGGCTGGCACTTGAGAAAAAAAAATACAGAAATTTCTGTCGAAGGGATTGTCGACAAACGCAGCACTGCTATGCAAAACGATCCTGCCGGCAGAACTTCTTGCCAAGCAGTACCTGTTCTGAGGGAGAGAATGGTGGGGTGGAGTGTTTGCAGTGACGTCACACCTGCTTGCCAGCAGGGAGACGTCTATTTTAGATCTATTCTACCAGGTGCGAGCACGTGAACCTTTACTCCTTAGTTCTCATACTATCCGACTCGTGTCAGCCAGCAGGTCTGTTTTTTGTCAATTAGCCGGTACTAGCAGTTATGAGCTTGGCTATGTGTTGCACTAAAACATAAAAAAAATTTGTCTGATCACATGCGTGTTAACACCAGGTGATCAAAGTTTGGAGTCCGCCCTGGTGGTTTAGCAGTTACAGCGCTCACCTGCTGATCTGTAGGTTCTGGGTTCAATCCTGGCTGATGTGGTCACTTTCTCTACGGAGGCAGAATGCTAAGAGGGCTGTTTTTTTTTGTGATGTTAGTACACATTAAAGGAGCACTGACATCCAATTTCAAGATCGAGATGTGCCCATCATTCGATCGCTTGGTATGCATAGGTCTTATTAACCAAATTGAACGGCATCCGTCGCATGGAAGTTAGTTTAATTCGATGTCAACAGCGTAGAAAAGCTCAGGAGAAAAACGAAAAATAGACTGCCCTGCGACATCAACACTAGGGCTACGTGTTCGGTGTGATACATTCGGCAAATACTATTTTGAGTGACGATGCCCTAGTAGCGATGGACGTGTATGATCCGAGTGTTCTTATCGTGGCGCCGAAGTGCAGAAAGCGCACTCGCTTGTCGCGTCTGATCTTCGTCGCATCGGTTTTAACGATTTCATGAAATTGTCAAGATAAAAAGTACTTCTAAAAGAATGGTGAAAGAAATGAGCATGCTTGTGCTTGCCGATCAGCATGTCGGGGAATCGTTGTGAGTTGCAGGTGAGTTTCAGTCGTCTAGTTCGAAGCACGGGAAAAGCGCAATGAGGGTGTCTTTTCATATCATGTATGTGTTACACATCAACATGACCACAAGCTATCAAAAGTGAAGAGCGTGTAGGCAGATATCATTGCTAAGAAGTAACACGCAGGTATCGTTGAACTTTAGTTCATCCGTAGACTTTGCGTCCACGTAAAAGCAGTAATACCATGTTAACTGCGAGAGGCGGGATAGGTGGGGCCATCTGGAGGCGTGAAAAAGAAACCTGACAAGCAGGAAAGATATTCTATTTCTCTGCTAATGCTCATTCGCGATAGCTATATTGCACTGACCCCTCTGCGCATAGCTGAATGCTTTGCGCGCCAAAACACACCAAAATAGCTGAGACACATGAGCGAACATGGCTGAAGCATGCATCCTCGGGCATCTGTACAGTGCTGCTTGGAGCGGCGTTCATTTCGAAATAACTGTTCTGCAAAAGGTCGACCCAAGCAACAATAACTCGCGACGTCGTGAATTGCGGGGATTCCATGCTCCAGACTATTTTATTGAACCCGAGTCGACATTTTGTACGGCGACGAGAGCAATGCAGGTGACAAGGCATGACGTAATGTGTCCGCCTAGCAGACGAAATGTTTGTGGAGCAGCTGAGCCTGACGTCACTTTTTTCTGTGAAGAAGTGGTCAGCAGTGGCGTGATCTGGAGATGACCGCGAGGTAGCGGCACTGCTAGTGCTCCCAGTGCTAAAAATGGCGGCATTGCCAGCCGTTTTTGAATAGCGCTAGATCCCAATAATATAAATCAATAAAAAGATAGTTATTGATCTCTCAGTTGCGTATTAGGTCGCAAATCGTTGCTACAGGGTCTATAGCTACTCGCAGACGCAAAAATCTTGGCATGAGTAAATTTCATGTTAGTGCTCCTTTAAGGAACATCAGATAGTTGAATTTCTGGAGCCCTTTACTATAGCTTCATAATCATACTGTGGTTTTGGCACGTAAAACCCCAGGTATAATTGTTGAAGCTAGCCTTTGATACCCATACAAGACGCCTGTGATCATATTGTCACGTTACAACGTAACTGTAAGCTGCAGATAATGGCACACAAGGACGTCAAACTGATTCGAACAATGGCAGTATCACTATTGTTTTTCTCTGCACGCGCATCTTTGTCCTCTTCTGAACAGCGGCACGTACGGCCAGCATCTGTGTAAATAATACTTGTAGAACTTGTACTAGTGGCATTACCCCCCTTCCCAAAGGACATCGTCCCGATGTCATAACATAATTGCCAGATGAAAAGAAATACGATAAGCAGTACACAAGGGGGTGTTCACAATTACTGTAAGTCTACTCAAGGGGGTGTGACGAATAGTCAGGGTTGGTAAAATGGTTTCTTCCTCGAAACATGGACAACGTGTCGATGTTATGAACGGCGGGATTGACGAGCCATGTCCTCGTCAAGAACCTCGTAGTTCACTTCGCTGAGACGACGGAGAACTCTATAGGGACCTAAATAGCGGCGTAACAACTTTTCCGACCGGCCCCGTTGTCGAATAGGAGTCCACAACCATACTCGTTCTCCGGGTTGGTAAGAGACATCGCGACGACGAGCGTTGTACCGCAGCGAGTCGATGCATTGTGCTTATGGAT